GAGGAGGGATTTGTAAATCAGAGGACTGTCCTCAGAAAATGGAGACGTAATATTAGACTAATTCCAACATTAGCAGGATGATGTCGGGAATCCTCCGTTGGTCATTCACACACCTTTATCTACCAACACGCCTGGCTAATGTACAAATTCACCTGCTACACTCAATATTGGCCACATTTCGGATTTCAGCCACACAAATCTCACGCAAAGGGAACGCAAGAAAGTAAAAATGACCAAATCCTTTAATGTCCCGATTACGTTGATTTTTAGAGAGATGTGAGTTTCCTTCTCATCTCTCACTGTAATAAATGAAAAATCAAACTTATAATATTAATAACCTCACTAATCTTTTATTGTAAAAAAGTCGTTGTTTAAGAGCTAATGTCAAACTCAAGTGATAAATTGTTAAAAGGTTTTTAAAAAATGAATCGTAATTATTCTCTCTAGATTATCTTCCTAAAATCCCCTACCTGACCAGGATTTCTGGAAGCGTTGCCATTTGTCGCATTGGGTTGTAATCCCAGACGGGAAAAAATTCTCTCCAAGGTCGGGCGCCGCTGGCAGTAGAGAGGCTGCAAATCAGGACCAGAATATTAACTATCATGTTAAAAAATATTATCCTTGTTAACAAGAAACACTTTTAAACAAGACTTGTAAATTATCATTTTGTTGTTCGTGGAATAAAAAAGTTTTCATCCTCCAGTAAAATTAGAAAAAAATATTCACTGCGAAAAATGTTGTTTCACTGCTATAACCATTAAAATCAATACGTTGATAGAGAGCAAGTAATTGATGTGGGGTAAAGTTCGAGGCGTTAGCCTGCCCAGAATCTGGGTATAGAAAATTTTCTATAAGAAGGGACTAATTGGACAGATTGGGAAACAAATGCATGTCATTTAGGCCGATGGCATTTTAAGATATAGCAATGAAGCCATTAGCTATCTGAAAAAGAACGCATTGACGAATTGAGTGCATGGATCTCACCTGCAGTTACGTTGCTAGCAGTAGCTGTGAAAGCGATCCCTTCTTAAAGAAATCTCTATATCTGTATGTGAGATCGAACCTCACATCCAAAAAAGGCAGATTTTGATGGATTTGATTGATTGTTTAAGTGATTCCGGGCATGTCAACTACCAGGGTCATTAGTCCCGTAGGTGTAGTGCATGTGTTTGCTCAGAAGGTGATGGTGGTGATCTTTCCGTATCTTTATGGCGAGTTCCGGTCCCGACCTACCTTCTGCTAGTGGGGGTTTCCCCAATCAGGGATCTCACCAGCCGGGACAATCTCTATGCTCCCGACCGATCTTCCGGCATGTGTGCTTGTGTGGTGCGTGTTAGTGTAAGTGTGTGTGTGTGTAAGGGTACAGAGAAGTTTCTATAAGGAAGGACAAAAAAGTTACAAATGAGTGCATGGATAGAAGGAAGAGGTAGGAAAGATAGCGCGTGGCCCGTTTGGTTGGGTACTGCTCCGGCATTCACCTGGTGTTCATCAGAGAAACCACGAAAAAATACCGATCAGAGCAGCCGGCCGCTGAAATTCTCCTCCAGACAGCGACTGAATTCGACCTAGCTGACAATCTAGTGTCGAAAATTGTGCCACCAGGGCCCCGAACGTAAGACCTCCCGGTCAGAGGGACTACAGTGACATCAATTGATGCCCTGACACCTCTCTCCCGGTACATTTTGGTGGACAAAAGCGGTGAAACCTATGACTCATGAGGTTGTGGGCGTAGAGAAAAGAGCAGTGACCCGTGGAACTATAACAGTTGAAAGGAACTAAGTCTTAAGAAGAAAATTGGGCTCTCAAGAGAGGGCTCCATAGGCACTTACCGTTTGACGCCGCTTGAAACTCCACGAAGTTTAAAACGCGATGAAAGTCAATTACCTCATTCCTATC